GCCAGCAGCACCCGTGTACGCTGCGCGCTGCACGCGGCAGGCTGCTGGCCGAGCCCAGCCGACTGCCGGTTCGGTCGGACCGCATTCCGGTCCAGACCGGTTCAGACCGGCTGGACCGGTTCAGTCTCATTTCAGTCCGGTTCGTTTCATGTCTAAGTGTTCAGCCCGGTTTATGATTTTAAGGACATTTTCAGTTAAAATTTCCGGGATTATTTCAGTTCAGTAAATTCATGTCCAATCAGTTCCGGTTAAGTCAGTTCCGGTTATTTCGGATAAGTCTAAATATCATGCTAAGTTAAGTAGAGCATCTTAACGAAATTAATCAGTTAAGTTAACAGTCTGAGCATAGTCAATAGTAATTGTTTATATTATTTTAAGTTTGATCAGGCATCAGCACTACCGTTCAGTTCAGCAGTTCAGGTGGGGACTCAGACTACGTACTACATTGATTATAATTACAGTATCATGTTTGAGGTATGTATTTCAGTTGAGGCATCCGCTCGGAATGGTCGCCGGTCCATTCTGGGTTCTAGTGACCCTAGTCTGCCCACTAGAGTGTGCACACGGTGTCCGGCTTTGCCGGCAGATGAGGTAACGGTCAGGGTCACGTTTGCGTGACGATTTCAGGGTCATGTTTGCATGACGTTTTCAGGGTCACGGTTGCGTGACGATTTCAGTTTTTACCGGCTTGAGGTTTAGGTTATATACTGATATCATGATGTTGTTATTATTTTCGATGTTTTACATTAGTATGAGTTTTCACGGAGCACAATGCCATAGTGCTCACTCCCCAGTTTTATCATGTTTTCCAGGTCAGGACGTCGGGCCGGGAGCATGAGCGTGACGTGACGGGGACTTCAGGATATTTATATTTTGGACTGTATAAATATGATGATGACTTACGCTTCCGCTTATGATGTTTTTGATGACTTTTGACGTACTCGTTTGACGAACTTATTACTTTGACGAACTTTTGAGAACTACCGATTTAAGTAACCGGACGATTTTATTAAAACTAAAACAACGTTTTTTCTAAGTTAAGTCACGATTTTTAAAGGTAGCACCCCTAATCAGTTTTCGCAAAGTAAAAGACTTTATTTTTAAAAGACTTTGGGAATTAATGCGCACTCTGATTTGACGATAAGGAGGGGTGTTACAATTGGTATCAGAGCACGTTTCTGCGTCTCTGATAAGTTTTTCAGTCAGTAATTTTTCAGAAAAAACTGAACCGTCATGCTCACGCCCCGCCGACGACAGGTAAGTGCTGATTCAGTTTTTCAGTTATAAACATATTACATTGTCTATGCTCATAATTAAGGATCAGGACTTTAGTTAAGATGCTCAAATAAGGTTCAGACTTTAGAGTTCGGACATGACTCTAGAATTTAGGGCATTCAGATATGACTCTAGACATTAGGATCTTCCTCTATAACTCTAGAGTTCTTCAGGTTTCACGTCAGTATTTATCGGCCATTTTTTGCAACTCGTCAAGAGATCTGTGTGCCTTAGTAATCAGTCAGTAATTGTAACACCCCATTTATTTGTGGAATATTTGAGATCATTTATTTATTTATTTATTTATTTATTTCATTATTATTATTATCATTATTATTACATTATGTCTAATTGTTTAAATGCTAATAATTATTAAATAAATATTGTTATTTGAATTTATGTGAATTGTTTGGATTGTATGAGTTGTGTGATCGTGATATTATTGGTATTAATATTTTCTTTCCAGTTATTTATAATTGCTTGATTATTTATTTTTAGCCATCGCATTATATTATTTGAGAATAATATAATGTTAAATTAGTTCGTCCGATTTAATTTATTTAAGTCGTTCAAAAAGTTTGGATTAGTTATCTCGCAAACCGTTTAATCTGTTGTGTTGATTCAACACTTAACCGATTTATGTTGGAGCTGAGCCTTATTAATTTTTTGTGAGACCGACCTTTATAATCGTGAACTCGTGCCTTGTAATTTGAACCGAAACCAGCCCA